ACTGCGTCTTCGTTGATTTCAAATGCATCGTTGGCGTATGGGGAGCACTTGATGAAGTCTCTATCGCACATGGGAGGAGTTAGAATTTCGAAGAGGCAAGCTCTGGAAATCTTCCGGAACGGACGCGGCAAGCAATTCAGCATTTACCGCGAAAGAGTTTTTGATGAAGTCGCAAAGAAGTGGCTATTGATCTACAGAGTCACGAAGGATTGCGGAAATGTCGCATACAAAGACTTCTTCGAGAAGGTCGCCGTTCCCGAGGTGAAGGAGAGGAACGAGATCTTTGGATTCTCCCGTGCATCAGCCGAGAAAACTGGAGATATCATCGAGTTCTGGCTTGGTGTCCTGGATGTGGCAAATATGGCCAAAGGAGTTGTGGATGTTTTCAATGCCAGTGTTGATCCAGCTGAGTATCTCAACGGATTGGAAAAGGCATTGGCTCAATTCACATCGACCTCCAGAACCTCAAGCACCATCAATGACAAGAGACGGGGATCCTTCGACTGCACACTGCAGACCGCAGAAGCCGAAAGGGTCATGAAGATCATCCACGCAATCCCCGGATATGAATCGCTGGCCAACTTCTGCTGCCTCACGGAGTGGGAGAAGGATCAGGTATTCTCTCATTATCGAAGGAAGAACAACATCACAGGGGATGACGCTAGCATGGGCGCTGATGCCGATGCCAAGCCAGGTGACGAGTCGTCGGCTCACCCTGGGGAGGAGGAAGCTGATGAGCCAGCAAATGATCCCACCGATGTGGTCAGGGACTCAGAGATTTCCGGAAAACAACAACTTTTGGATGCGTTGGGAAAACTCTTTACCGTCTCTGAGGATGTCAATGTGTGCTTGTATTGTGGTAGCACCAAACATGGTCATCTTGAATGTGAACATGAGAAGAGGGATGAAGTCAGAAAGGTGCTAAAGGCCGTCCGAGCGTCGCTCGAGGCTGATAGTCCCACATCTGATGACGTCGATATGGAGCCTCCTGAGCACAAGAAGGACGGTTCAGGTGCTACTGAAGGGTCGGGGCAAACGGATGAACCTACAAAACCGAGGTTTAGTGAACACCAATGGTACGACAGCATAAGGACTATGTCCGAAGTCGGTGACCTCGATGAGTATGGTAGGTTCTGCATCGAAGGACGTGATGTTACAAAGCTGGGACCACAGAACGTTGTTGACCTCAACGAAGTGATCCGAGACGCTATTGTCAGAGGAGGAGGCGACACTTGGTCAGTGCCAGACTTCATGGCAAGCTACTCTGACAACAACATCAGGAAGCCCTTCTACAAACGAGTCGAGGCGCCGCAAGATGGTTTCTTGAAAATCATCCCGACGACGGGGGCCCATTTCTTCAACTGCTCTTACTTTGGCGGTGTAGAATATGCGGCCAACTACCGCTTTGAAACTGGCAACCGGCTCGACACCTACGAGGACAAGGTGAGTACCTCACTAAACAGGATCCTGCGGCACAACGTGGGGAAGGTATCAGAGCAGCAGAGTCTGTCCTGTGATGACGCCGGCTGGGTGCCCATCGAGGAGGTGCTCAAATGTGAGTCCATCTGGAGGCACGAGCACGCACGCTGGCCACACGTATTCCTTGCCCCAAAAGGAAGAGCAAATGATCAGAACGCATGGAATGTCAGTGAGGCGAACTACCGCATGACATTGCTCTTTAAGATCATGTTCCACTGTGCCCGGTACGGACGTCGTGTGCGTGAACAAGTCTTGGCATTTGGGATCAACAAGGACATTGATCGCAGCAGCCTGACGTGCATTGACAACAAAGTCGAAGCGGACACGCACATCCCTGATGAAGGCCTACTGCTCTACCCAGTGGCGGTCCGTGCTCCTACGGGGCACAAAGAAGGATCTTCAAGAGACGACGTCTCATTGCTGTCCTCGTTGCTTTCACATCCAATCGCACCCAACACCATTATGTCATTACCGGTCTGTTTTCACATCACCAAGAAGACCAACCTCCGAAGCATTTGGAGGCAGGGATTAATTCCAGGAGGTCTTGGAGAAGGTCATCGGATGTTCACGTTCTTCAACCCGTATGTGCCATGGGATTACAGATCATGGACCATCACGAAGAGCGTTGATACGCGCAAGGGGGACTACATTTGCTTGTTCATCCCAACCGAGACCTTGATGGTGGAATATGGCGGTCGACTGACTGACTCGGGACAGATCGTCTCACCAAAGATCATCCCGTTCTCGGCAATCAAAGGAGGATGGATTCAGGACCCCAAGGACCAATACAACAAGACATGGCTCCGGTTGTTCGTCCCGTCGGGCGACGACCAGGTAGTCCGGTCTGGAACTATCAAATCAAGAACGGTAGCCACCAAGGAATCCATCCTGAGAGTTGCAAGTCAATGCATCGACGCCGAAGACCAACCGTATGACGAAACCGCCATGGATGCCATGAACATCGTCAACCAGTTCAAGAACAACCTCATCGAGCCTGGCGGACAAGAGCAATACCTGGCCCGCATCAAGCTGATTGACTACATAGTCGAACGCAAAAGGGTGCAAACATCAGGTTGCCGTCATTGTCCTCACTGCCTCAACGAGACGCCGACAAAGCTAGCAGTGTGTCTAGTCTGCTGGACGGAACTTGAAAGTTGTGGAATCCGTCCATATCGGCTACAAGCTCCTGAAGACGATGAAGATGAGGCCACGAAGAAAGAGCTCGATGAAGAAGTTCGTCGACAAGAAGAATCGTTGTTCAAGGATACGGTCCATCAAGCACAAGAAAACGTATCCGAATCCAACGACTATGGCTTCAATCCTGACGAGGTCGACTACAATGAAGGCGATGATGAGGAAATGGATCAGGAGGAGGAAGCTCAACAGGAAGACGACGAAATCGTTGAAGAAGACGACGATGAAATGGACGTCGAACCTGAAAATGAACCTTCTTCCAAACTTCCAGCATGGACTAAGAATCTTGAGAGCGGCAGCAAGGGTATGCCAGAAGACGGACTTATCAACAATGATGTCTCCGAGGCCGCGGCTCACTTGTATGACAATGCCGTCATGTCAAAGGTCATCACAATGTTCAGGCTCTACTATAAACAGAGAGTCACTCTGACCCCAGAGGAGTACTATGAGATGATGACGGAAACCAAACGAGTCCGGCTGGACCTGGACGACTTCTGCCCCTACACAGGCGAAGACCAGGATGGCAACCTCAAGCGACCGACAGAGCTGGAGTTGGACGAACTCTTTCAGGAGAAAGGGAAAAGGAACTCATGGTCAGAGGGAGAGAAGATGTACTCAGGACGACCAAGAAACATGATGATGCCTGTCATCAAGACTTTGGAGATCTATGAAAAGATGATGGAATTTCTGGTACGCGCCGGGTACACCCCCGAGTCATTAGGTTTCCTCATGCCAATGAACCGAATGCAGGCTGATGCCCAAGGGAAGCAGGAGATGCGAGTGACCATCAGCAACTTTCTTCGACGTCTGCTTAAAGGAACCTTTCCAGAACACGAATCATACACCTTCTTTCGCTCCGGGAGCCACGGCTTCCCCAACTGCATCGAACTCCCAGCTTTCTCGGTATATCTGAGTCTGAGAGAGAAGGAACAGAGAGTGGAACTACTCTTTGCCGCCCAACAATGTGGCATTCCTTTACCTCAAAACTTTGTCAGCAAGATGGCTTATGCTATTCAACTGGCTGAGGCCGAGGCGCAGAGGGGGAAGACCGAGATGAAAATGAAGATGGCTCCAACCCTTGGCGACGAAGTGGTAAGTGAAGTATTCAAAGCAGTCGGACATAGTGCCGCTTCCAAGTTTGCTACCGCAGACGCGAAAGCCAAATCATCAGCACAACCTTCACAGAAACCTGAAGGCACTGGTTCAGCATCATCCTCATCGGCTGGCGCACCAAAGGCTAAGGCTATGCCGAGATCCCATGAACCATCAAAGGCACCACCTGCGAAGCCCTCATCGCCGAAAGCTGCTCCGAAACGTGCGGCAGGATGGGAGAAATCTCCAACAACACCTCAATGGAAGAAAGTCCGCCGTGAGCAGTAAACAATTACCTCTGTCCGTCAAAATGGTCACTGGACTATAAGATGTGTATCGTCTTTGTGAACAGATGATCAGGAAAAGACCAACTGAGTGGACTCTGAGCGAGGCAGTAGACCAATTCGCTTAGGTTCAAGACTTTTGATATTCCCAATCTGCATAAAATTCTGCACAGTGCGCGTGAATTCGTTAGTTAGCATTATAAATCTTTGGTAGCGAAGCGATCCATTTCTCCCGTCGGGTGAGTGGCATGCCTAGCCAACGTAGAAAAGTAGATGTTAGCTAGCAATAATTGGCGCTGTACAGCTTGATGAAGCGCCAATGCATCGACAGCCAAAGAGTAGGCGAACCCTGAACCATTATTCCCGTCGGGTATGTGGGAAAGGGGGAGCCGAATGGCATGTTTTATGTAAATAGGCGTAATTCGAGTAGCAGAATAATTCTAATTCAAAGTCCCCTCTCTCGTGTCCGTGGTCCGAAGGAGACCATGGACATGGGGGGCGTCAAAGGGAACGCGGTCGTAACACACACTTCATGTGCGACAAGTAAATAGTGATTGCATGGAATGCCATGATGGCTCAAGACCCCATGCGTGAGCAAAAAGAAGTGATCGCCGTCCGCCATGTTTAATGCGCCCGGGAACTACCAGTGAAACAGGCACTACTTGAACTATAACATCCAGAACAAGGATCAAATTGTTCACACATTTACATATACATATAAATATACATATACATATATGTATACATATACATACATATACGTATACGTATACGTATACGTATACGTATACGTATACGTATACATATACATATACATATACATACGCTGAACACATATTTTATCATATTTACATATGTGCACGTGCAGTTTGTGTTGAGGCCGAGGGCATAATTCTGGCTTTACTCCCTCCTTACAATTATATATATATATAAGAGACTGTCGCTCGCTAGGCTTTTGCATCATGAAGTGCACTTTCTTGATGACACCCGGCCGGCCTTGGAGTGATGGGTGTTCAAGTGTGCCTCAAAATGTGTAATGGTTCCAGGCAACAGAAAATACAGAAACCGCGCGTTCCGTCTTTTTTCATCTTGTACTAGTGAAGCTGATTTGTGCAATGACACCACGACCACAGTTTCAAAATGTTTCAAACCATTTTGTTCAGGACTGGGAGCCTCCGCAAGCGGAAGACGACAGAGGCAGAGGGTTCAGTCTGAAGTTGCCCGGAGGTTACTGACAATGACAGACATGAGCCAGTGTCCAAGTTTGGATGCCAGGGGAAGAAGAAGACTTTGACATCTTTGACACCACCAGAAACTCCAGTATTATCAACCAGAGTTGCTTGGCTGCCGGAAATTGTACAATAGTGGTCAACGGCAACTGAGCAGTTTGAACTTCGCGGCTTTTGGAATGTGGTGTATGAAGCATATCGCGAGCTTCCCTTTCTGGCAAGTCCTCCAAGCAGTCTTGCAACTGACCAAAGGTGCTTGGACGGAGGGCTCTGCAGAATCCATGCCCCCTGTTTCAAGCGTGTCAAGTCATGTCAGATATCAGCATCAGTATGGAATGGATTGGCCACGGCTTGTCATGTTTTGAGATGCTTGTAGTTGGCTGGCGGCTGATAAATGACCGCCAGTTTTTTGGCTATTTTTATACTTTTGTTTTCTCTTGTCTTGTGGGGTGGGGTGGGGTGGGATAATAACGTCATGTCTAAGTGCGTTTCACACGTACTTGCCCCATGGTCGTCACTGCCTGTTGGGTGGGGTGAGGAGGGGTGGGGTGGGGTGGGGTGGGGTGGGAACGTCATGTCTAAGTGCGTTTCACACGTACTTGCCCCATGTCGTCACTGCCTGTTGGGGGGGTGAGGAGGGGTGGGGTGGGGTGGGAGGGCAAGTCTTGATGGTAAAGTGACGTTTCTACACGTGGCGGGTACGGACGTGGTGGGGTCGGGTGGGGGGGGGGGGGGTCACGTCATCTCTGCTAGGGGACATTGGTTCAAAGCTTCACACAGAGGTCAATGTGCTTGTGAAGCAATGGTTGTACAGAATGTGGTCTAAGTCTTCTTCTCCCAAAGATGTGTATACGAAGTTGACTCAAATCCTGAAATGAAAGAAAGACATCTACTTGGAAATGTGAAACATGAAATGAAAAAAACAAGTAGTTCGAAGCTGGATTTGGAAGAGTCAAAAAACGCAGCAATAGACAAAACAACTGGTAAAAACCAGGCGAAATCAACTAGCGGTGGTTGGAAAAGCAGGCGGTCGTCTATCAGCCGCCTACCTAGTAGTTTTGTGATGTTTCGTGATGTTTTGTGGAATGTCTCAAGGTACAGCTATGCAACGATAGCCCCGGGTCCTGGAGCCTATGACCTGCTGTCCTGCTTCGGAGCTCAACCACGGGTACCCACTGCAAGGCCGAGGATCCATCAGCATGAGAGTGTTGAAATAGTGGCAGTATGTAACAGTATGTGAGAGTGTTTTGATATTCTTTTAATACTTTTGAGTTTTTCTTTTTAATATAGTCTAATGAGTCTAATGCTGGCCTTGCAGTTGGCCTCCCATGCAATGAATGTTTGACCAGGCAAATGTCACGTGCTTACTGAACTGCTGACTCACTGTTGTGATTTTGTCCTTCAGGCACACAGGTGCCCACACCTTTGGTACTCGTCGAGAGACTTGGGTCAAGACATCGATTGAGCTTCTTGGCTTAGAAGGTGCAGCAAAAGTTACGACAAAGAGAACTGCTTTGAAACTTTTAATAACATCTAATAACTGCACCAGTATATATACATATATATATATTTGTTTAATTATATTTAAGCAAGATTATTTAAGTACATTGAAGTGCTGTTTGGAGATTGCAGTGGTTCAATTCCAAGGTCCATTGGGCCTGGAGCATTTGAGAAGGAGCCTTGATTTCAGCCAGGATGCCGGCCTTACTGATGTTCGAGATTTTATGAGTATATGCAATATATATATATATATTATATATATAAATATTGTATATATATATATATAAATATTATATATATATATAAATAAATATATTATATATATAATATTTATATATATATATATACACATATATCATATACAATATCCATATTCTTGGTAATACATTTTCATCTTGAGCCTTGAGCCAAGCTTGACGAGCTGCGTCGCAACCAGCGGTGCCTGTAAATTCAGACCCGATGCCTTGTGGTATCCGCAGCTGAGGAACCCAAAGACTCTGCAACGCAAAGGCGGCACAAGCTACTCGGCCCTACTCAGCAACGGGTTAAGACAGTGCGATGCGAAGAGCAGCTAAGCATAGCTAAGCAAACCAGTTGAAGTAGAGATTCTTTCTGAATAACTGAGGCCTGCATGGCAGTTCACGACTTCTGCGCGGATGAGAAGCGAGGCAACATACATACAGAGACACTTTTTTGATGGCTTGGGTGCGAAAGTTCTATGATGGGTATATGATATGCCATGCAGTGGCACCATGATGTCAGGTGAATGACTCGCCAGGGCCAGGACACTATCAAGCGCATCCTGTCTTGAACTCAGCTCCAGAGGGATAGCGATTGAACATGATTGAAACATAGAGAACCATTATGCCTTACTTTTTTGTTGATTATGATGATACATATTATACTTAAACTACGAAACATTGAAGGCCTCTGAGATTGCGACAGCGACGCACCAGAGATTTTGCCACCAAGCTGTCACATGCCATCTCCGTGGCCAGGTCTTTCAGGGACCTCAGTTCTCCTTCGGCAGCCGACGTGGATTTACTCTTCATCCACTCCAGAGCCTTTTAACAACTTATGTCAGAAACGTTCACAGACGTTCACAGATGTTCAGAAGTTAAGACATGTTCGGATTGAAATGAAGCTAGTTTATTTCATTTTATTTCCGGATGTTGCTTCCTCTTTGCTTCTGAGAATACGTTTTTCATGCTTGTTCGAAGTCAATCAGCTGGCCTCCAAAAAAATGCCAAGTGCGGATGCCGCTGTCCACCTTGATACGTCTCGCTGAGAGTCAGGACGCCTCCGATGTCAGCCAGAACAAGCGTCACGGCTGGAAAATATTGCTTCAGCTAGAAGCAACATGAAGCAAGCACCAAAACATTGAGCCAACACTCCTGATCCGAGTTGTACAAAGCCTACATTTCATTTGGATCAATCGTTGGGCATGCAGAATGCAGCCTATTGAGACGTAGAGCGACAAGAGAGGGAGTGGCCTATCCGGCCCCTGCTGAGACCCTGCGTCACTTTTAGGCGCATGTATATTGTATAGAGATATATAGAGATAAGCTCAACTCGCCCAAAGACTGGGCTACGTTGACCTAGAAAATTTGAATCGTCTCAGGCAAAAAGGTAACCAACATTGCTTTGAAGACTGCTTTTCTCATGCTTTTCTCACCTACCAGTAGCTGCAATATAGATGATATGTTTGAACATTTGGACATTCTGAATATATAGATGACATTCTGGACCATCTCACAGCATTCCAAACTGCTCCTGAACCTGCGCTGAGGTGAATGAGAAAGTTCCCCGAGAGCACTGGTTTCCGGGGGTTGGCAAAGCCAGACTTTTCCAAAAGGCACTGGGGAGACCCGTCCTCTTTTGTAAAGTCAGTCTTGTACCGATACAGACATGCAGTATCATACGGTAGATAGACTATCTAGCCTAGAAAGGCGCACTGTATGTGTATAATTGTGTATATATATATGTGTGTGTGTGTTTGTATGTAATGTAATGTAATGTAATGTAATGTAATGCAATGCAATGCAATGCAATGCAATAATGCAATGCAATGCAATGCAATGCTATGCAATGCTATGGTATGGTATGGTATGGTATGTATGTATGTATGCATGCATGCATGTATGTATGTGTGTGTATGTGTGTGTATGTGTGTATATATTTATATTTATATTTATATTATATACCTGTGCCATGCTATGCCTATGTTACACAATGTTACACACGTCCTATAGCAAAACACACAAGACTATGTAATTAGGTGAATCCTTGCAATCCGCAGCTGCCCCCCCGCCCGGATTCCGGTCACAGGGACGATGTGCTCCTCAATGGCTTTGGTCGCCCTGACACGCTCGGAGCCCACAAGCTGGGTATTTTTTGCTGCTGATTTGTAGCTTGAAAGTTATGCAAAAGGTCAACGGTGTGGCGGGTATCCAACATGATCCAACACTGGTAACAAATTTTAACATGTTCGCTGCAGCTGCAAACCCTAGGTTTGCCCGCGGCGAATCCCGCATATCCTTTGACATGCTTTCCAAAACAACAAACCCTAAACCCTAAAACCCTAAAACCCTAGACCCTAAATTATATAATACCCTAAATCCTGAAAACTCAAAGTCAAAATCACTGCGTATAGCCAGTGTTTTCATTCATCCTTTGGTGATACGTATATAATATTATGTAATTATAATATTGTTTGGATGTGTTGTTTGAGGGTGGGCGAACCCAAGGTTTGGAGGGAACATGTCTCAAAAAGTTATAACTTGTTGTAACAATGTAGACAGCAGTTTCAGTTGAACTGGTGAGGCTGATCCTCGCGCAGGGACACCGTTTCTATGCGCACTATGAGGTTCTGAGCCTGGGCCTCGCTGAGAAACCCACAGTCGTTCAACTCACAAGTGGCCATCAGGTGGCCATCAGCGTGCGATCCCCACTGTTTTGCCCTGTGGTCATCGGTTGAATATGGTTGAATCTCCAGGGCCTCTATCGCCTGTTCTTCGGGTGCTGAGCCCAGTCAAACAGACCAATCGATCTGGAACTGCACAGAGAGAGAGACCAGGGAGGTTGCTTGTACAAAGGTAAGGCCGACTTTGTTTTGTTTTTGACGCATTCCCAGTTTGCTTATATAAAACAATGCTAAGGCCCAACTTCATGTCTCTAGTCTTGATCTCAGTCTATCGTGGTACATAGTCAACTTATGTCAACTTAGTATCATATCTTCATCTTGGTGTTTGGCCGGGAGGCCTTGATCCGATTTGGGGAAGAACGCTTCACATCAGAAGCAAAAGCGCCAAGCTTAGGACATGCGCCGATGACAGTTATACCAGTTGTACATGTCCATTACATGTCCATTACATGTCCTTAAGAAGATGTCCGGCAATGAGGGTACCCCCAAATTATCCATTTTAAATCATTTTGATAGGATTTTCCGTTATAAACCATTCATTTTGGAGCACCTCTATTTTTGGGAAACCTCCATGTTGAACAGGACAGATCCTAGTGCGCTCAAAGTGCTCCGGCACAGATGTAGGTCAAGACCCTGCAGAGCGCCGAACTGCAGAAGGAGTTCTTGCCTGGCTGCACGCCGTGTACCCTCCGCAGGCAGAAATCCTGCATCATCCTGGATCTTTTGGTTTGGACTTGGGGAATCTTGGGGACTTATTATTTGGCAGCGATCATAGTATGCCATGACTTCAAGGAGTTTCTTGCGAGGTCATGCCCCCTGCACACTTGATGCCAGAGGCAGGATTGTGTGAGCATATGAGACCAGACTGGGACAAGATGGCAGTTTTAGATAATTTTAGAATCCTTTAGTGTGTCTGGGTGTGTGTTTTTGGGGTCAAACACCCTTCCTGCTGGTAGAACCCTCCAGAATTGTCAAGCCAAATTTGATCAAATAAGAAGAGACATACTGACATACCCGTAAAGTCACGAGCTTTCACATTTTCAAGAAACATGTCCCCACACACAAGTGTAGCAAGTTCGAGAAAGTGGCTCCAGCGATCAAAGTCCGAAAGACAACAAAGTGGTCAAGTGTGTGTGTCAAACCAAACAAACAGGGTTTAGATTTCCAGATGTCATGTCGGCATTGGCATAGCTGTCGCATGCTGTCGCCTCTCGCAGCTATTTTGTCGCCCTAGCGCAGTTTAGTTTGTGAAAACCAGCTGTTTTCATGCACCTGCCTCACTCCATAAGGACGGATCATGCTTTGGCAGGGGCAGGTGTTCAAGATCGATCAACGCACAGCACGTTGATTTGCCCAGTGCCCGGAGGATTTTAACTCTGCTGCTGCCATTGATCAGTGCAGAGCGAGAGAAGCAGCTGTCACAGGAGGCCTGAAATGGCCTGAACGTGCCTGCCAGAGGCAGACCCAAAATGTCTTACCGAAAGTGGATGGTGTAGACGGTTAGATAAGTTAGATACGAAACGATGGCTCCTTTAGGCCCATGGATACCCCACAGATCCCCACAATTCACCTGCCATGTGTGGAGTGGATTTCACCTGCAGGATGATGAGACTGCTTACAAGCGGTTTCGAGAGGAGTACCTTGGTTGGGATTTAGTGGGGCACCAAGTGCACCGATCCAAGTCAGCTGCGTTTGATGTAGACTGGCACGGCAAAAATACATGACTTGGCCTCACTCTACCTAACCATCCTAACCTTCATTTAATTATATATAAATATTTGTAGTTGTCCGCCACCGTATGGATTATGACACAAGATCTAGGTGAAAGCTGAGTGTCCCGAATGGCTCAGCAAAGTTCTAGGAATGAATATGGGTTCCTTAGTATCTTAGTGGGTGACATTATGCAATTTCTGCCCAAGCAGAAGTTACTATGCAATTACTCTTCCCTGCTCAAGAGATTCTCCAAGGTAGTTGTGAGTTCAACTCAAACACATCCTAAAGGAGGAACTTATTAGAAGCCCAGAAACTCTCGCAACTGACGGGTAGAAGACTGAGCACTGATACCAAGCCTTACTACACAAGATTTTCTGGGGTCATTCTTTGCTGACGCTTGCAATGATTCGCATGTTCAAGCGATTTTGCGCGCTTCGTCCTTCTGAGGCACAATCGAACGAGCACCGGAGATCAGCTAAGTTACGAGCAACGCCTGGCGAACTTTCGTGCTCTGATCGCATTGGCGCATCACGGTGCATAATGGTGCATAATGGCGCATCATTTGCCACTGTTTCATATTGGTTCATGGAGCGCATTAGCGGCCATTAGCGGTTCTCAGATTCAAGATATTGGAGCCACCTGATCTCTTGGGAACATTTTGGCCTTGTTTCGTGGCATTGAACAGAAGTTGCCGTTCCATTCGCTTCCGACCCAGTCTGAACTTCAAGGTCGATTCCGAGCTGCGGTGGAAGAACACAATGCTCGGCCAGACGTCAGTTGGACAGCGGCTTTGGGCTGAGTTCTGAAGAAAATTGACTCGCCAGCTTGCAGTTTGTCCTCATATCTAAATATATCTAAATATTAAATATTGCAAATGTATTTAAGCCCTTCAGCTTTGGATGCTTCGCATGCTTTGGGCTTTGAGCTTGAGGTCATTAACCGGTTTGCAGACTACAGCGAAGCCGAATACAGAGCTCTGTTGGGCCAGAGGCGAACCTGGCGACCAGAAGTCAAAGCAGGACAGGACCATTACTGTATCATGTAAAAAGCCAGAAAGAATGTGTTGCACCGGGACCCGCGGAGAGCTGGGAAACTCGCAGATGTGAACCTCGAAGATCAGTCAATGCCAGTCAGTCAAACGTGCGAATGTTCCTGTTCCAGCAATGTGAAAACACAACGCATCACAACATTGTCCTGTGTACTGCATTGTTTTTTTCAGGAAGTTCCTTTTTGCAGACAGGGCCTCGAGGGGAAGCAAAGACCGTCTCTTGGCCATGGTTATTGCATCCGGTGGTTTCTTCGTCATTCTTCGTCTACATCCAGGGCCCCCAGGGCTGCTTGCGAGGTAGATTGGTCCAAAACCTTGACATCAGTTGGCAACGTCAAGGAGCTGGGAGCCATGCTGGCCTGGGGGAACAGCACTGCATGCAGGTGTCCTGCAACGCAGCCGTAAACTCAAACCCCAAAACAACAATGCTGAGACAGTACGGGTTGTCTCATGTTGTCTCATGTTTTCTCAGAGTCCAAGTGTCGGACGGTGGCAGGAGCAGGGAGGATGTGGCTCTTGCTGGGCTGTTGCTGCCATTGGTGCATTAGAGATGCATGCGGAGATGACCTTGAGAAAGGAGATTGGTGCACTTTCGTCCAATCAGGTCCGCCTTCTCAGCATCAAGCATTGAGAGCAAATAGACACTAGGCCTCACCAGACAAAAATGATGCAGCCCATGTTTGCTCACTGCAGGTCAAAGACTGTTCCTCAAATGTGCATCATTGCGGTGGCCTGGCATGTACTTCCGGTCGATTTTTGTGAACAATGTATAGCAAGTATGGGCAGCTATGGGCAATTAATTATGGCTGAACATGTGTTACCTTCATTTTTTACATCCTTTTACAAATTATACAAATTGGTGTTTTCTATGATTTTGCACTGAAACTGCCAGTTTTGTCTGGGACCATGGCAGCTCAATGATCCAGGTGTTGCCATGTTGTGGCTTTCATAATGCTTTCATGGCATTTCCCAGGAAGAGACCAGCTTCATGTCAAAAGATGTCAAAAGCGCAGGTGGAAATGGTGGCTGCCAGGGGTCCACCTCGGAGCTGGCATATGTGGCTTGGAACAGCAAACCGCTTCAGCCGTGGCTTGGAACAGCATCCTCTTGAAGCCATCCAAAATCGTCTGAGCCGTTCCTGACCATTGATGCCATTGCCTTGCTTGATGCTTTTAGAGTCTTTTAGAAATATGTTGGATTTTTTAGACGCCTAAGAAGTTGACCACGTTGAACATTCCCGCGTTGAAAGGACTACATTGTGAAGAACGGAGTTTCCCTTGAAGCAGACTATGGGGGAGTCACTTGGTTACATTGACCGCTGAGTAAAGGCTACAAGTCTTATAAGGCTATGATTCGGTTTCCTTGTTTAAACGCAAACACGCAAACGGAGCGGAACATTGTTAATTAAGCACAAAGCGTCAAGGACAAGAACCATGACGAGAAATGCGGCAACATCAAACCATACATCAAGATTGGAGGCACCGACCATGTTGACAGACTCAGTGCGAATGATGTAACAATCTAAGCACTTTCTCCTTTGCACTTTGATCTTTGTCGGGCTTTTAGTGTGCGAGATGGTGTCAGTAAAGCGTTTTCCCATGTTTTCCCTCCCTTGCTAGTCATTTCCTGGACATTTCTTCAGTTTTTTCCATGCATCAGAATCGTTGGTGAGAAAGCCTTATTGGCATTCTTGCATTTTGGTACAACCATGGACCATAGTGTGTAATTATTCCATGTTATTTCACAAGGTTGACGTGGCTGGCTTGATCCTTTTGTTCTTTGAAATGTCTGGAGGTTTTCAGCCTCTTCCGACCAACAAGCTCCAGCCTCTTATGGACGCTGTGACCACGAAGGGCCCTGTAGTGGTGTCTATCGATGCCAGTGGCTGGAACTCCTATGGCGGTGGCGTATTTGCTCCTTGGCTGTCCTTGGTTTGGGTGAATTCCACTGGAAATATAAATTTGCTTGGACTGGGTGATGAGTTTCAACATGTTCCAACATCTCTGAGCCTGGTGGGACCTGGTGGGCTTCAAGAGCTACCGATCTTTCAAGGCTTGTTCTATTTTGTTCTCGGGTTGAACTTTGTCGTAGAATGAGAAGTAGCTGAGTAGCTAAATTTTAGGCAGCCGATTTGAGCATCTATTGCATGAATTCTGGGCGTGTAGTCTTCCGAAGTTTGGATAATATATATTGAAATAATATGAAATAATGCAAGCGTCGTAAGTGTGTGCCTGCTGTCATCCTTCCAGGATACCTGCAATCATGGATTATCAAGCCACAACCCAGTCGAGCCACCCCCCAGTGTAGGGGCCTTATTTGAAACCTTATTTTTTTCCTTATTCATTTTTACATATTTTGGGACATTGATCATGTTGACCCAAAAAATATAGCCTTATTTGAACGCCTTATTTTGCCTTATTTGAAACCCTTATTTTGCCTTATTTGTAAACGTTATTTTTCATTGTTGACTCCAGATTTCCATTTTCCATAGATGTTTGGGGACCAAGTGAATCCATATTTTTCCGTTACTCAAATCTTATTTTCGGGGATCACCAAATCCACGAACAGGGTTCTTATTCTACACTTGGTGACCGATTGGATCCAGATGTTTTTCCGTTCTATCTTTTGGTGGTGATAAATCTAATCAATATGTTCCACATTCCGCATTTTTTTGGATGAAGAATTGAATCCTGATTTTATGTTCCAAATATAGTCTTGGGTATTGTTGTTGGTGTTGATCACATCCAAAACCACAAGTATATATACATATATCTATGTATATATATATATATGTATATATATATATATAAATACATATTAAAATGCAATATTCTGGGTGTGAAAAACATACCACAAGTACCTATTAACAACTATTAGCACCGACATAGTAAACACAATCTAAATGACTTCTTGGAAATTGGGAACCAATAACCCTTCAGCGCGCAAATGTGATTACCTAGATTCTGTGGAGACCAAATAGATACTAATAACACCTATTAAGAGCATGTACAAACAGTTTTGCTGTTTATGACATGTAACAAATGGGCAGTATCCTACTTATTTGGAACCAGAGCTTGCAACACGTGATTGATTTGTTTCCTCTTGGCAAGTTCAAAGATGATATGTAGATACATGTGCAAAAATGATTTTGATTTTTTTCTGCATCAGCGCGGTCCATGCCAAATGGGAACCAATACTCCTATTCGCACGTAGATTTGACTGCCGAGATTCCGTGGAGAGACCTTTTTTAGGTCCTTATGATGTATAAATTACACCTTGATACTAATAACACCTATTAGTATCAAGTAGTTAAGGATTTAGGATGACATTTCTTTGGAAAGGCGATGCCTACCCACCAATGTTGATGTTGGATTTATACCCAATGTCTTATGCAAATAAGGAAAAACATACACATAGATCCTAATAACACCTATTAGCATCAAGTAGGTAATAAGCCCGTTCAGTCCCACCTTACAGATATGGCCCTAAAGGCTATTAGTGCTTATTACTGCTTATTAGTGCCTATAATAGGCATTGCTCTGCCTAGCCTGGCCCAGCCCCGAACCATCCCCCCACTCCCAGCTCAGTACCCTTCCACCCAGTGCCACATCCAATCCACCACTAGCCAGCTCAGTCCCACCTCCCAAATTTGGCCCTAAAGGCTATTAATGCTTATTAGGGCTTATTAGTGCTTATTAGTGCCTAATAGGCATTGCCCTACCTAGCCTGGCCGAGCCCCCCAACCATCCCACCACTCCCAGCTCAGTCCCAACGTATTAGTAGCTAAGAAGTGTTAATAGTCATTTTGCCCGTTTTTTTGGATCTCAGGCCGTGGCAACAGTTTTTCGCAGTTTCCGGCTGAGGCCTGGCGTTATGTATATGTTTTGGATATATAAATATTGTTTTCTAATAAATTTATTACACTATAAATTTCCCTATCTTACAAAAGGAACTTTTCCTGCTTTACAAACCATAAAAATTAATATATTTTCATTTTTGCATCATTTTTCCATTTCCTGTTGCAGTTCTCCATTTGTGGTTCTGTTGTAACACCTCCTTGTGCCCTCCCTGTTTTGGATTCCCGTTGTGGGGAAAAAACAAACGCCAGGCCTCAGCCGGAAACTGCGAAAAACTGTTGCCACGGCCTGAGATCCAAAAAAACGGGCAAAATGACTATTAACACTTCTTAGCTACTAATACGTTGGGACTGAGCTGGGAGTGGTGGGATGGTTGGGGGGCTCGGCCAGGCTAGGTAGGGCAATGCCTATTAGGCACTAATAAGCACTAATAAGCCCTAATAAGCATTAATAGCCTTTAGGGCCAAATTTGGGAGGTGGGACTGAGCTGGCTAGTGGTGGATTGGATGTGGCACTGGGTGGAAGGGTACTGAGCTGGGAGTGGGGGGATGGTTCGGGGCTGGGCAGGGCAATGCCTATTAAGCACTAATAAGCAGTAATAAGTACTAATAAGCATTAATAAGCACTAATCAGCCCTAATAAGCACTAATAAGCCCTAATAGCCTTTAGGGTCATATTTGTAAGGTGGTACTGAACCGGCTAGCTCCCACTAGGCACAACCATGGATTCCAGTGGGGCTGGGCGGAAGGGTACTGAGCTGGGAGTGGTGGCTAGGCTGGAGAATACGTATTGCTGGGAGGTGGGTAGGAATTTATATGTTTTAATGTGAGCAAATTTTGCAATTCATGTGGTCATTGTTTATTTAATGTTTTTTCTTGATGTTTCATATTTAAGATCATGCAGATTTGGTTCCTTAGATGTAGTGAAATTATGTTTTGAAACATTTTGAAAACAGAAGGAATGACTTTTGTTGGAGGTTTCATTGCTTGTTTCTTCTTTATTTGAAAACCAAATATTGCCTTATTTGAAAACCAAATATTGCCTTATTTGAAACCCAAATATTGCCTTATTTGAACGCCTTAATAAGGCTTATTTTCACCATGCTTAAAACCTTAACCCCCCCTTATTTGAACCTCAAACCTTATTCAAAAATCAGCCTACCTTATTCTTACCTAATTGAATCTAATAGCAGCTAATAAGCTTCCACACTAATAGCTACTAATAGCAGCTATTAACAGCTATTAGCAACTAATAACTAGCAAAAATCAATACCACAAAAATCATACACTAGGGGGTGGCTCGACTGGGTTGTGGCTTGATAATCCATGAAACATGAAATAATGCAAGCGTCGTAAGTGTGTGCCTGCTGTCATCCTTCCAGGATACCTGCAATAGAGATTCCGTGGTGAACCATGCAGTCGTGCTGATTGGGTATGGCCACTCAACAGAGCACAACAAGGACCGTGCGACGCGGGATTTTGCTGCTTGTCATTGCTTCCTCAAGTTGGTTGAATCAAAATAATCAAAGAAAACAACCCGGCGACACCATGTGAGATATTGGAAGGATGTGAATGGGTGCAGAGGTTGGATCTGGAATGGTAAAGATATGTCAAGATCATGATGAAACAGTGATGAAACCGTGTACTGCGCTGCAGGACTATTGGTATATCCGCAATTCCTGGGGAGAAGCCTGGGGAGAAAACGGATTTATCCGCTTGCAACGTCACAGCAGCGACCAGGGAGATGCTGGATACTGTGGTGTCGATCATAACCCAAAGGCGTCCGGGGGAGGCTGTGCAGAATGCTGTGCAGTTGGAAACCTTCGGAAGATTTACCAAGACACAGCATGACACAGCATGACACAGCATAAAGATCGTATAAGATCGTAAAGTCTTTCGAGATCTTTCAGGATGAACAGCTTTGTATAGCTTTGTACCTTTGAGAATTTATGTTTTTGGTTTGGACGTGCTTGGACCATGTGTGGCAAGTTGTTTTGCTTATAGACTCTTGTGCAATCTTGTACTTGTATGCACTTCTGACATCTTTTGCCGCGGTCTTTCATGCCTTTCACACTCCTGCGTGCTGCATGCCAGGAAGGAACAGGATGTGACAACGGCCCTCCGACGATTCCAGTGTGCGGCATGTGCGGTGTTCTCTCAGCACCTCAGCAGCATTGCCACGTGTAGATTTGGGAGTCAGGTCGGATGGGTAGAGACACTAGAGACACTAGCGATCTTAGAGGAGACTGCGCAAGCTGACAGATGATCAAGACTGATCAAGACTGATCAAGACTGATCAAGACTGATCAAGACTGATCAAGATGCAAGTTGTTTGTTGTGCTAAGGATTCGGTGTATCCTTACGACCTCCAGCTGTGGAAGTAAAGTGCTGGATCCAGGGACTCGTTATGACTCGTTCACCATTGTGACATGTCAGTTGCAGATTTTGATCCAGAGGATCAAAGTGGCACCGGTCAAAGACCATCACAGATGGTCCCAGATGGTCTCACTGGGTGCCCTGCTTTTGCAGCAAATCCTTTCTGCACCACTTTAGCCTTCTCATGCCTCCTCAAACTGATTCCTCAATCATGACTGCGTAGCGAAAAAATGCGTCGTTTTGCGTCCCTTGCGATCAGGAGTCGCGCTCACTCTCCACATTTGGGTGGCTGATTACAATGTGAATCAATGTGACATGAGGAGGACGTTCCATGGTCATAGTGGGCTGGACCCAAAAGCACAAATATGGTAATGCAATGTAATGCAGCCATATGCAGCCTGTCATGGCCGCTGGCTCCATGCAGCGCCCACCATGGTAGGTGAACAACATTGCCAGCGACTTTGGGATGGAGACCGTCATTGCAAGCATGAAGGCTTGGGACGACTTTAGAGTTGCCGCATGTTGCCACTGAGTGGCAGAACTCAGAGCCCCCCCTTTCAATGAACTGAGTGGGTCAAACACATCATCGCCTTGCACACCTTATCAACCTTTCTTGCCATCCTCATTCGGCATGCAACTTGGCATAGATCGATGTAGATTGAAATTGAGACATTATCATCATTATCTAATGGCCAGCGAAGACTAGAGTAGAGAGTCACCGAGAGATCATCAGAAATAAATGAATTGCATGTAATTATCACAATATGTTTGCTCCATGCTGTTCTTTTTGGCTCAGTTTTAACATGAGTTTTAACAGGCCTTGGTGATGGCAAAGAGCAGGCGCTTGTGAATGCAATTTGCATGTGGACCTCAGGAAATATGGATGCCGAGAATCCAGACGCAGAGATCTTGATGGACACTCGCTCGTTGCATATGGCAGCAGCTTATTGTACGATTGAACGGAGTTGGGTCCGATATGGTCCGATACAGTGTACAGAACTTTTTTGGACATCGAATAAACCCACGCTTCGCAAGAAATTCTGAGCTGGCTTTCAGAGGCTCCTTTCTCTTTCTCCTTTGCGCAATCCCAGTGATCATTCCTGAGAACGTCTCAGAAACCCGAGATACGATCATCAGGTACTGTACGGCATCTACAATAGTAGCGTTCGTTGTTTCATTGTGTTCAACATGGGAAAACTTTCGGAGAGGCCTTTGACATTGCAATTTCTGGCATCAAAGGCACCATCCTTGCCGCACTGATGGGCTGGTTGTCGTATACAATTTGCCCCGATGGTTATGTGGAAGGTCATTCACTCGGCTTTTGGATTGCTATTGGTGCTATTGTGATTAGCATTTTCTACGTTTGTACGGTGATGCTTCTGAACTTGAATCTCGCCTTGCCATCTCCAATTTTGCGGGCACCCTGATGACTTTTCTAAATACAGAAGTTGAAGGACAGGTCACACCACCCTGGTCCAGCAGATGGACCTTGGAAAAGGACACCTTGACACAAGGCTTGGCTTCGACAGGCATGGGTTTTGTCACTGTCATGCTGCCAACCTTGCTCCTGTATCCATTGTGGTCGCTGATGTATGTGCAGGAGAGTCAGCTCCTAATGAATCGCAATATCTCCCAAGTTATTCAGATGATGATGGATTACTACAGTGAAGAAGACCCAAATGTTTACCAAAAAGACGCTGTGCTACGCCACCTGCGGGACTGGCAGTCCATCACAGATGACAATGAACCTCTGATCCGTGCAGCTTGGTGGGAGTGCTTCGGCATGGGCCGCACCCAGATGAAACGACATGTGTTGCATGCTATGGATCAGGCGAGTACTCGAGTGTACTACCTGGCCTTCAATGCCTGGGCCGTCTCAGATGCTGAGGGTGCCAAGGGCACCAAGGGTGCGAAGGGCAATCTGAATGCCGAAGATGCAGAGGGTCAAGCCACGGACAGCGCTGCTGTTGCGAACCATGGAGCATTTGGTGACTGTTGTTGCACTTGGAGGATGGCCGAAAATGTAGCTGCTGAAGCTCTTGGTGACCAGATCAGCGACTTGGTGGAGTAGGCGCCGCCCTTCCCTTCCTCAATGCGGCCGAGCAATCGCCCGAAAGCTGCTCGGGTCGGCGGGTCAAAGTCGATCTGGTCACCAAGAGCTTTAGCAGCTACTTTCTTTGTAGTGCTGTTCGTGCAGGCGATGGAGGATGGACAGCTGTTGCTGGATGAACAAAAGGATGCAGAGACTGTGATTGATCAGCTTCGGCATCAGGATAGGAAGTTGGCTGAAGAGTTTCACGGAGAGCGATTTGCAGTGACCCAGAACTCATCCACTCTCATGTGCGAAGATGTCCGTGTTGCACAAGTACTGCACTGGAGCATCAGGTGGAATGTAGGGGAAAATCGTTCAAGTTGCAGATGGTGCTTGTAGGTTTTCTCTTGACAAATCTGCGTTACCGCCGCCTCCAGAAAGTGAAGGGGTCTTTGGCGTTTTCTCGAGTTTGACAGACAAAGATAATTTGCTATATGCTTTGCGCGGAATCAGCTCATACTTCCTATGTTTTACCATAGGATACTTCGGCTTTGGCGAGTTTGTTCCAGCTCGTGAAGCATCAATTGCAGCAACTGCACCACTTCTGCTCTCTACGTATGTGGGTTCCGCTCTGGTAAATGATTTGAACAGAATACAGGGCCTCATGCTCGGAAACGTTTAGGCACGTTTGTTAGGAGGATTCGTAGATAGCTGCAGCATCGAAGATTTGATCCTGCATTATCACTTATTATCACGTTCACTTGGACTTTCGGATGTCTTTTCGTTTCCTTCCATTCTAGTACTTTCTCCACCGGGGTTTTAGCAGCGGCATTTGGTGCACGAACCTTCTTGGAGGTTTCGTGCAATCATCCATGCTGGATTTGTAAACGTGACACCTTTGATGGCTTGACAATGAATTGTGCCGTGACGATCACAATGATTACAGATTTTCTTTTTCACTCGGATCGTGCCTCTGACTTGGCCTTTCGGAAGCTGGATGCCTGCTGGGATGATTTTTTGCATCCTTCAAGCGGCTCTTAGATCCAAACACTATACTGAAGTCACCTTTCACTGCGAGACAGCCCGGAATTTGCTACATGTTGCTACGGGAAACCGAGTACATGAGCACAAAATCTGATTCGGAACCCCGTTTTTGGCGCACTCAGTGGCACCACGATTTGTTCACAAGTGTGTGCACGAAAACCAAATACCTTGTCATTGCCTTGGCGGCACTGGAATCAGTCATCGCAGAGCAGGGCAGGGCAGGAGGGAAGAAATTCCCTACCTTTGTACAACTAGCAGAAAAATCGTTTGAAATATCTAGGATATTCATGGATATTCTAGGAAGAAAAACGATATTGCATGTTTGATATTTTTGGTGCGGTCATCATGCTGCTAAATTTTGTCTCGGTGAAAAGGCTGTTAAAGATCTTTGTGCATAGGACCGTTCAAAAGTTCGGAGGATTTTCGGACAAAGGCTCAACACACCAGTTCTTTTCAGAATCCCGGGCAGTTGAAGCAGAATTCATGAGGGAAATCGTTCCCTTGTTCTTTGGCTTAAAGGGTGAGCCCGAGGAAAGCATGTCTCGCGATGAAATGGCTCATCTTTCAGTCCTTTTTGCCGGCGGACAACCGTACTTCTGAGAAGTGTTCAGCACAAAATCTTGGCCAGTCGATGGGAGTAGAAAAAAGACACTGGCCGCACGATGTGGACTCTGTGAATGCCATCATTGCGGATTCTTCACAGCTCCCACAATCATTAGCAAATAACTACATAGTAACCTTTAATTTAAGAATCTAAAACAATCCATATTCAATATGAATAATTAAAAACTATATCACGTAATAATAAATATAATATAGATTCCAGCTATCATAGCTATCTCTTCAATTTGTTCATGTTCATGTTCATCAGCCCCCACCTTGATCAATCGCATTGCCAGTTGGGCATTGCTGCGCATTGTGACCTGGAACGCGTGGCCGATGTGGAGCGTCAGGTGAAGAGCCCAGCAAATCATTGAGGGATGGTTTCTGGAGCTGCTGCTCCACCAATCTCTGAAATAATCTTAGCAAATTGATCCACTTTGGATTCACTTTGGATTCACTTTGGATCCATGTTGCTTTGGTCTCGATTTCTTTTCTGAAGGCATTGGAAACTGGCTTCACGGCCGCCCCTCCAATTGCGGAGGTACATCCTTAGTATCGGAGAGGTCATGAGTCATGGCACCTGAGGGGTCTAGAAGTGTTGCGTGTTTTCTTTTTGACTCATACTGGTATATACTATTATATACTGGTATATCATATTAATATGATATTATATGTAAATATGATAATGAGGATATGATATGATATGACTGATATGATACATGATATATGGTATGATATCATCCTTATCGCGTCGTTTTGATTCATGTCGTGTTTGTGGGAGATCTATATGATTGGCTGATTGGCTATTGAGATGCAGAAAGAAGGCAGGTCACTGACTCAATATCCAAACGGATCCGAGTGGTCGGATGCTTGGGCTATGCGCAGGTTGTGTTTGAGGCCTTGGCCGAGTTCTCGGTGGATGAGCTGAAGAAGATGTTTGGCACTGAGATGGATCCATGATTTCCATTTTCTACGGGAAACTACTGTATATAGATGCATATAGTATATATATATATACATATATATTACATAGTAGATATCATATAGATATCATATAGATATCATATAGATATCATATAGATATATATCATATAGATATCATATAGATATTATATAGACTATATAGATATCATATATATATATGTTGTATATAGATTCTATATAGATTGTATGTAGATTGTATGTAGGTTGAAGATTGTATATAGATTGTATATAGATTGTATATTGTCTAACATATTTTCAAATATATGTTATCATAACATTGTAATCTCCTAGGTGTGAAATGTCCAATTCCAATCTTGGAAGGGTACTGATCGCTGGGGTATAGTG